AATTACCATTCAAAACTTTCCTTTTTGCATATGTTTAAACTTTATGAAGCATGAGGAATATAGAAAGGTATATACTCCTTGCAAGCATATGTACTACATTTTTATCAACACCTTACACCAAGATCCTAAAGTGGACATTCATATATACTAAGCAAACTTTATTATTGCTAAATTGCAAAAGACTTTTGAAGCTAATTAGATTTGCTAAAACTACAAATGTTTATTCTCTATCAATAATATAAACTTATTGTACTTTAAATAATTAATAATTAAATATTTTTTCATTTCATTTATGTGTTCTTTTCGAAATACTTCTCATAGTACTTATGTGTCTCTATTTTTGTCTTTACCATCTCAAAAAATATTTCATGGTAGTCTTTCGAGTGTGTGATATTACAGTATGTTATGAGAGCATATATACCTATATGATCATCACCATTGTTTCCACTATAAACCAAAAAGCATAAGACATTTTTTGAAAGTCATAAAATTGCAATTTTCTAAAACAAGTAGGAGGGCATTTTGTTTCACCCAATTTGTTACACCCTCTGTCATTGCATTTATCTCCAACTCATGATCACTATCCTCATTAGTCTCTCTTTATTTTTTTTATATAGTTTGGTTATGCTATGCAATGAGATATCTATTGCATCTCCTAGCCCTTGAACCCTAGGAAGAAAGATTGTAAGAGTTAAAATTACAAGCATTAGAACCCAAAAACATTTATGTATATTTCTCTCTCTTCAAATGAAAGTGTGAGTGAAGATCCATAAATTTAGATAGTATGCTATGACAAACCCCTTGAGGGAACTTATTCAATTGCACTTGAAGTTGCAAATGGAAGAACTTAACACCCCTCAAAATGAAGAAAAGGATTGTTGCATAGAGACGAAAGTGGATTATTGGTTGAGCTTGAAGATGAAGGTGGAAACTCATATAAGAGGCATTTAGACTAAAAATAAACTTCTTTTGAACCATTACAACACACAAAAAGAATTAAACTTTTCAACAATAAAAATTCTCTGATTAATATACTAAATTTTAATATCAGGAATGAGGTTTTATTATGACATGGCAATATATTGAATCTTAATTGTCAGTCTTGGTAATGGGACTACATATTAATTACAACTTATTGTTATAAACAAGTGGCTATAGGGTTCCAAAAGTTAAAAACTAGCACATAATTGATATGTAGCCTTATTTTATATAGCTGGCCTCCATATATAATAAGAGCAAACTCATACAAGCACGTAAGCATGCCTTTTTACAAAATTATCCTTCAATTTCAAATATATATATATAGATTTAACTCTTTGATTTAACCACATCATATTTACTACACACTTATGCTCCTTGCAAAAATATAATATATCAAGAGGAATAGGATATATATAAAAAAAATTTAGTGGATTACAAAAGCCATAAAAAGCTCTATAGAGTGGATTTGTTGGTGTTTTCCGTTGTATTGTTTATTTTTTCACTTATCTTGCTCTGGAATACTATTTTAGAAGTAATAGAAGCATTTTTATCAATAGTGATTATGGTTTTCACATTCTTAGATAAGTAATAAGGACCAAGAATGTAATATGGAGATTATGGTAGTGAAACAAAATTAATATTCTCATATTTCTGTATACTAAAGCTACTTACAGATTTTTTATCTTTCTTACTTCCCATCTCTATAAAACTAAAAAG